GATCTGCATTGCCAAAAACTACACACCACTTTTCCCCATCATTACAAATTAAATGTTTGGATCATTCAAATCGGATGCTCTGTTCTCTCAAAAACTTTATTTCTATTTTCTGCACTCTTTGCTTCATATCGCCAAAACAACTCGACCAACTTTTGCCAAAAACTAATCAGCACATCGGTTGTTTCGTACGCCCGAAATCGTCGACGAAAAATTGTATCCAAACATACACACACACAAACACATCAATTTTTTTGAGGTATGACAAAATGTTCAAAAACCTCTATGTAAAGCTATGCAAAACGTTCAATTTTGATTTATAGACGATTACAATAATATATTAATAAAAATAATAATAATAAAAAATATTAATCACAATTATTTAATACTTACATCAATAAAAGTTAAAGCAGATGCCCAAAGAGCATTGATTGAAGGTGAGCAATCATCCTCCACGTCGACTTCAGATAACATGGAGTTGGCATCCTTCAGTATAATTATCATTATGAAAATATAATTTAATATCATTTTTCAAAATTATGTGCCATATTCCCTTCTGAAGTAATTTTGATGTGAATACTATTCACATTTATTCAATCCAATTGAAATGATATATTTTGATTAAAACACTCTTATGCAAAAACAAAGTAGAGATATCTCGCATTGTGCTTTAAAACAAATATATCTGGACTTTCCGTATTTAGTTCCTATAGACGAATGATACACATAATTTATCAAATAAAGTTGAAATTTAATTATTCGAAGATACAAAAATATTTTTGACTCTATCAGTTTGTGGAAATATTTTTTAAATCATGCCATTTCATACCACTGATATGTTGCAGAAATACTATATCTGAACACGCAAAACACATACCTATTCATTATTTATGAAGTATGCCATAGTGATTAATTGGTCTTCAAACATGAATATATAATGAGTCATTTTCGACTTGATCGCTATTTAATTAACTCACTATAAATTTAATGTTTTCAGCAAAAAATCCAGTAACGATCCAAAAGTATTTCTATATCCTAAACAGCATAATATACTGTTTGAAAACAGTCCTGGTTCAAATATCACTAACAAAAACATGTAGTCTTTAGAATAAACTTAAGTTTTGTTATCACGTTAATTGAAGTTTGCACATTTTGCCTATTTGCATTATAATCCTATTTAAAAATATAACAAACACCATAATATTACAATACTGGAAAACTATAAGTAAAAATGCGTATTGAACAATATTTACAAAACTCTTTCAATCACATTTGCTCGATATACGCTTTATTATGAAAATATAACTAATTACACAAAATATGTACATACCTATATGCAACAAAAATACATACCTAAATTTAGAACCACATTTAGTTTGATTTACATGTTGGGTAAACAGAATTATTATTATTCTGTCACCACTAATGTACGCAGAATTTTCCCACTTATGTTTTCATGACACCTCGTAATTACAGACACATTAACGAGCTTTCCTGCCTAATTTTTGGAGAATTAATATTTAATTAATCAACATATTTATGTAATCAAGTATTTATTGCTAACCTCATTAACTTACCAAATAAGACGAATGATTAAAACCGAACAAAATTCGGAAATAAAAATTTATTTCCGTTTCGAAACATTTAGAAAAATGGATGTAATGAAAGTTTAAAAATTCAATTAAATTTTTTTTTCAAAATTTTTGTCAATTTTCTGAGTATTTCAAATTGTTTTAAAGTGTATTAGAAAATGAATGTTTTGCACCAATAATCTTGATTAATGTACATTAATTTACAATAATGCTAGAACTTTTAATAATAATTTCTTGAGCTAATTTTGTTAAAATTGTTAAGATTAAATAAAATATCATAATACAGAAAATATGACAAATGGTTTGAATATTACCATTTCGCAATTTAATTAATTTTAATAAGTTTTATTTTAAGCTTTAGTTCAATTAATATATTTAACGATTTGCAATTAACAGTTTTCTAATTTTTAAACACAAGTTTTCAGATATTTTATAAACGTTTATTATATTAAACAATAAGTAAAATTTTGACTCAAGTCGAAGAAGCACTACTCATTTTTTTTCCAAACTTTAGTGTATTTTTCAAATCAAACACTTGTTTTAAGGCCGTAATATTTTAGTATGTTTTATACATTATGATCTTATCGACAAAAAAGTTTGCAAAGAAACTGCCCGGCCGATCTTTACCAAAAACTAATCAGCCCGTTTCCCAACCAATATCTTTCGATTAGTTTTTGAATTATTTAAATTATTCAATTTTTAATTTTAAATTAAATTATCAGAATTATTGGTTAGAACATTAACTAAGGTCAAAAATAACACTTTTTCCAAAATTAGTCTCAAACGATTCAGAATGACTTGAACGTCGAAAAAAATATTAGCAAATCGAATTTATTCGTGAAATCTTCAAGTCAGGGAAATCGGATATTATGCACCGCAGTATATGATTGCTTAGTAGAAATCCAGTAATTAATTTTCAATTTTGTTTTTACAGCCACAGACGTATTCATAGACAAATCGCAAATGTTGAAATATCGGATGTAAATATTTTTTTTTTATAGACGAGCTTTGTATCTGGAGCAGTAATGATTAATTTCTTTTTCTATAGCTGGAATTCTGAGATCTTGATGTATTAACCGGTTAGGGACATATTTTGGAGCGTTCACTATTTCTTTCAAAATTTTGTTTTGTAACCTCTGTGGAATAGTTATGTTTGAATTACTGGCCGCACCCCATAGTTGTAGACCGTAGGACCAAATTGGTTTAATGATTGTCTTGTATATTAGGAATTTATTTTCTATTGAGACTTGTAGTTTCCAGCTCATTAACCAATTGAATTACCTACGTTTTAGTTCGAGCTGCTGGCGCTTCTTAAGTATATGTTCATGCCGGGTTAGTCTCCTATCCAAAAGTATTCCCAGATATTTAACTACATTGGACAATTTGTATTCGTTAATTTCATTATCTAATAAATGCAATTTTGCATTGTAATTACACAAGTATGTTTTTTGTATAGCAAAAGAAATGTGTTTACCTATAACAGACTAGGTCTTTTGTCTAGGTATGTCGGACTCAATACTGCCTGGGTATAATAACTACGAAAACCTCCGCTTATTCTTTGCTTCTATATGTATAACCACGAAAAGTTTTATCAAATTCGAAGACAAATAAACCTGCTGCTTTACCTCCAAGTTTGTACTTAAATATATGCAGAAAAAAACTTTATTAAAAATTTTGATATATGGTTTCTTTGGTAAAGTTTCTCCAAATGACCTATAGAACTTTTTTGAACCTGACCCTTTGTGTATGTATATGTGTGAATTTTGAATCTCTGATTTTCCATAAGATATTTTATCTACTTAATTATCTACGAAAAAATACCCATTATCAAAAAATCGTTATTGCATTATTAGATTCGCATTCTCCCAAATATTTATATTTGATTACCTTATCATTTCATATAATATATATATGAAAGTGCAAAAAATATTAAATGCTGCTAATCATTATGTGTAAAGGTCAGTTTTATATTATTTTATTTTATTTTATTTTACTAGTTTTTTTACCTTCTCGCTTGAGTTTACGGTAATGAATTATTAAGGTCGGTTTTATTAAATTATTACGGTCAATGAATTTGAAGAATGCAATTTGAAATTTGTGTTTATTATGCACAACATGTTTATTAATTGCATTTTTTATTTTAAAACAATTCGATATTTTTCATTATACAAATTATAACTACCATTAAAACATTCTATAATTTTAATTTATTGCTATTTTACTCACATGCGATAAGAGTAAATATTTTTCAGATAATTCTAGTATTGACATTATTTGCAAATATAAATATCGTAAATTTTAATACTATAATTTTTTTAGCGAACGACGTAGATAATTACCTTTATGTATTTTTACGAAATTAATTTTTGGGAGTTTACTGTATGAGTAATAACATTATCTTTTTTATTACATCAATTTAATTATTGTAATAATATAAAATACAAATAATGCATTCATCTAAATGCGGAAAATAATAACAAAACCTATAATGTTATTACTAAAAAAAAATCTTAATAATTATCTAGGATTAATTATAAATCTTTAATTGATAATTTGACACTATGACACAATTATTGAAATCCATTACCCATAATATAAATCAAATCTATTACATTTTAATGTCATGCTAGATCTCTTTAATTAGTCAGTTGCTTATGCAATTTGGGAACATAATCATCCCATTCAGCTTGGTAGACATTATAAGCAAGTGGTTTTCCCAAATTATATTTCTTTGCAAAATCTCTTATAGAGAATTTTCCTCTGCCACTTCCAGTGGTGCTCGAAATTTTCTTGTCGGTGAAATTTATTCGTTCCGGTTGTTTGTAAAGGACGAATACATAACGATGTAAGCCACTTCCTTTCGGGGGTCCTGAACCTACGAAGTCAGTTAGGACCTCACCTTTGCTAACTTCTGATCCGGGAATATTTCCTAAAAATGTAATAAACAGTCAAATAAATGTCTAATATCTCAAATTTTTATTCCGTATATTTAAGAAAATTGACGAGCTTGGAAAGTAGAAAAATTGGCTATTACAAATTTATTTTTTATTTCAAAATTTCCTTTTGAATGAATGAATTAATTAATAATTAATTTTCCTACTATATCTTGAGGACGTCGATTTATAATTATTTTTATTTATAGGCAATAGCAAATATATTTTATTTGGAAATTTTATCTATAAAACCCCTTGCTCTACCTTTGCTTTTGAGGCTACATTTTGATTTTTAATTATTATTATATTTATCCTAACTTTTTTTAATGAAACTACGTTTTTATTATTACAAAGGTATTTTGATTTTGCTAATAAATTTTATTTTATGAATTTTCTCTATATTTTTCATAAATTCTTTTGCTCTACTTTTGCAAAATAGTTTTTTGAGACTATATTTTTTATTTCTAATTATATATTATTAGATTTTTCATAACTTTTTCAATGAATCAACTTTTTTCTTATCACAGAATTATTTTTCTCTATAATTTTTATAAACACTTTGGCTCTACTTTTGCAAAATATTTTTTTGGGGCTACATTTTTTATTTTTAATTATCATTATATCTTTATGACCTTTTTAATGAAGCAATGTTTTTTTTCACAAGGGTATTTTGATTTTGCTAATAAATTTGAATATAAATTTTCTGAAGAAATATGATTTTTCTCTACATTTTTCATAAATTCTTTTGCTCTACTTTTGCAAAATTTGAGTTTTTTGAGGCTAAATTTTTTATTTCTAATTACAATTATATTTTTTATAACATTTTAAATGAAACAACAATGGTTTTGTAATTACAAAGGTATTTTGATTTTAAAAATGAAATTTATTCCGAAATTTTCTCTATATTTTTTCATAAATCCTTCAGCTCTACTTTTGAAAAAATAATTTTTTGAGGCTAATTTTTTTATTTATAATTTTTTACACAAACTTTACTTAAAACCTTAGTTCCTTAGTACCTATAATGCGATAATTAGAATTTTGAATGATCCAATTTAAATAATTAGAATTTAAATAAAGGGAACTAGTTTTTAAATCAATTTACGTTGCGTGAATACTTTACGATTTCTAGGTTTACTACGCATGATATGGCCTAGATAAATATGAATGGGCGTAATATTACAATATGACATTTCAACACTGATAAAAATGCAATTACATATACTTATATGCACTTGAAATAAGATATCTGTTTGAAGTACAATTCAAAGTTTCAAAACAATTTGAAAAATTTAAAAAAAATCAAAGTATTAGAGGCATACCCAATGAAGAAACTAACAATCGATTTCAAAATTTGTTAGCATATATAATAATTTGTTTGATTTAACATGTTAATCGAGATGTCAGACATATGTGTCCGATGGTAAGAAGTTCTACATGAGCCAAATATATGCTATTATACTTATATATGTTATTTGGTAAAAGCAGAAAAGTTTTAATAGTGGATTATAATATAGGCCCATGTCAGTTATGTAAGTGTAACATAAGAAATAGTGTTTTTCCAGGTATTTTGTCAATTTTTTTAATACGTTAAGTTTTCTTGGTACATTTTTAACTGAATTATCTAATAAAGTTACTGTATTTATGTTAGGCAGTTATAGAATTTATTAAAACTTTCCTTCGATAAATCAGGTTGTTGGGTTATGATTTAACCCTTGTAGCTGTGGACTGTATTAAACACTGATTTGTTGGTATATTATGTATTTGTTGCAGTTCTTATTACAATCACTGATTTGTTACTAAGTTATAATGAAAGAAGAAATATTCATTGGTTATTTACTAAACATGTTGTTTCGCGGACTTTACTTTTAGAAGTGAACAACTAGTTCAATTAAAACACTCCGCTACCACCTCTACCAGGGGTAGCAACCATCCCGTGTAAATCTTAATGCCCTGAAGGTTGTCACCTTCATGGCCAATATATTGAAACGAAAATACGTCCGAACATGTAAAAAATTTGCTGATATCGTGGCGATTAACGTGTTACCGATATCCTGAATATCGAGTGCTCCTATAACATTTTATATTTCCATTACTATCGATTTCCAATGTTTTGCGTCAATTTCCTGGCGCGAATTCCGAAAGTCTGACGCAATAAAATTGAAACTTGTTTGACCAGAGACGAGCCCCCATTTTCCGCCGTCGAACCGACCATTCACACGATGTATAAGTTATAAGAGTGGGCACTGCAAAGTGCAGACGAAGCGAATGGCATATTAATGAGAACGAGTTGATAAACTTTGCAGAAAAAAACAGAAAAAATTGCTTTGTGTCCTATAGAAAGGTTATGGATCACTGGTGTACAGAGATTTAAGTAGAAAATATTTAACCCGAAAAAAATTTAGTTGGCATATCATTTTAAACATCCATAGAAACTACTAATTAGGTGTAAGTGATAGCCTTAAACAAGTATTCAAACTAGTGGTATATGGCATCGTGCCTCAAGGCAAATTGCTGGAACTTCCCGTATTGTGACGAAATGTTCGAGGAAAATTAAATGTTTTCAAATAAATTATTATAAATTAATACTGTAACATTGTCTATTATTTATAAGAATTATATAAACTGAATTGCATAGTTGAAATTATTTGTTTAAAGTATATTAAAACTTTAGTCAGAAATTAAAATCTGAATTATTATCTATATACAAAAAAAAAGAAACATTTCTTTTTTCCAAAAGCAATTATTTTGTTAAAACAAGCAGAAAGTTCTTTGAATCATTTAAATCGGACGCTTAGTTCTCTCAAAATTTGCTATTTTTTAACATTTAGCTCTGTATCTTCGAAATGGCTGAGCCTACCTTTGCCAAAAACTAATCACCACTTCTCCCAATCATTACAAATTGAATGTTCTTTAGATCATTCAAATCGAAAACTCCGTTCTCTAAAAAACTCGATTTGTATTTTCTGCACTCTTTGCTCCGTATCTCCGTAACGGCTGGACCTGCCTTTGCGACAAACTAATCAGCACATCTCTCTATCAATAGGATTCGAATGTTTTTTGAACCATTCGAATCGGTTGATCCGTGCGCCCGAAAACGTGGAGGAAAAAATGCGGACATACAAAACACACACACACATCCATTTTTTCTGAGGTATTTCAGAATGTTCAGAAACCTTCGAAACGTGAAGATATGCAAAAAATTTTATTTTTTATTTTCGGTCCATTACAACTACCCTATGGGAAGTTAAAAATTGGAATACTTTTAAACTATAAATTTTGAAATGTGAGATCAGAAAATAGACTAGGCGTAAGTGGCACTTGGCCTTTAGACTCAATTTTAAAATTGTGACGATAGAATGAAGAAATTTTGATACTGCTCGTTTTGCCAACCATTGATGAATTGTTATAAAAGCTACTATTTGTAGGCCTCTGATATTTTAGGATATTTGACGATATTTTTTGATATTTTAGGATATCGCTCTTTTACAAAGTTTTAAAAAAATTACAACAATTAGATACGAAGCAGCAGCCCGGCTGATCTATATCCAAAAGTATGATTTCCAACTTCCATTATTCAAATGGTTTGTGAAATTTCAAAATTGGTTCAGGATTTTTGAACGAAAAATTTTGCACTTATCTGCTTATTGTAAAAAAACGGCTTGGTTGACTGATGACGGCTTGGCAAAAAACTGATCAAATTAGTTTTCATCGATTTTCTTTAAATCGCTTTCAAACTTTTGAAATCGGTGCTTACATTTTTGTAAAAACGCCAAAAAAATACCAAATTTTGGCTCACTCAGGATTTTTGCCCAGAATTTCTGGAAAAATGGGCCAGAAAACACAACTAGCAAATTTGTTTTTTTGACGAGAACAAATTGCTCCCTCAGGAAGTTCTGTCCGTTCTGAATCTTCTGCTTCAATAACCCTAATTTGATTTCATAATTACACAATTTAATTATGATGGTGTGTCTAGTATTAATATTTATTTCACAATTATGCAATCTATGAGAAAATTTATAGTTCAGGGTATATTTTATTTCAAGCATATATTAATGTTAAATATTTATATCGCATTTCTGTCTTTTATTATTAAAATTTACATCTTTGGCATAATATGTCAATGCAACGTTTTCTCCTTGAATTCAAGTTCTATGTTCTTTAGAATGCTGGAAGTTTGCAATCTCTTATTTACATATAAATCAGGCACGTTCGACTTAACGAAGACCACAGAAAAATTTATTAAAGCTTATATAGGATATAACCAGGGACGTATTTTGGAAACGAACGAAGAATAATAATGATACTATTATAGGAAGTATACTTGATGATAAGTAATAGAATACAATGTCAGTTCTGATTAGTTAAAGTTTTTGATACATTACCGACAAGCCAATGGTGCCATTCTCGATTTTTAGGACTTTGTCTACTAGGAGCATCAGGATCTGTCATGCACAATAAATAAAGCTCGTTTGGATCTGCATCCCAGGATACTGTCGGCTTATTCTTGACAGATGTAGGCGTAAGGATATTGCCCAAATCAGCTTTAACTCCACTGTCGTAGCTCACCTAAAAAAATGAAAATGGAAAATTGGAATGGAAAATTTTCTGCTACTTATATTTTTTAATTCGAACCAATTTATCATTAAGTCAATAATATAATTCCAATATAAACCAGAATTATATAAATGCAATTAGATTTTCAATAACTAGGAAGGAAACCTATTCCTCTTCTAAGTGAATGGAAAGTTGAGTTGGATATACATGTCTAAATTACCGAATAAACTCTCAGCTCAAGTCGATGACTCTTGACTTGCGAAAAAATAAATTTAAAAAAATATAAAAAAAACATAGAGGAAGATTATTTTATGTGAGTGATCAGCTTATAAACAAGCGCATTTACATGGAAAGAACCTGTTTGTATCTGACAGCAGCGTATAAAAACTATTTCTTTAGTAGTTGTTTGTTTTGTAATATATATAAAACTGTGATTTTATGGAATTAAAGATAATATAAACATTTTTTCTGAAATTAAAAAAAAATATTTGCTACTCCGACAATTTCCTTTATAGCAAAACTGAATTAAAAATACCAATTTCACGGTCATTGTTTTTGATACATATGATCAATTTCCTTCTATTAGAAATTTAGTTTTTTTAACAACTATTATGTAATAGTGATGAATTCATTGCTATATAATGAAGAATATAAAACTTACTAACCAAGAATAATAATTATAAAAAAATTATATTTGTGTATAATGTTGTTTTGGTCTCTTCAGTTAAAACTAATCTAACGTGTTATATAATTTTTTTTTTAAATTATTAGAATAAAATGAAGTATTCATTTAATGTAAGTAAATAATTATTAATAATTATTACTGATGAAGTAATCTAATTTTATAACAAACTCATCATTTTTAAACCTGTTTTGTAATAACTGGCAGCAGCGATTAAAAACTATTTGTTGAGCATCAGTTTGTTTTGTAATATATCTAAAATTTTGTAGTTAAAAATATATGTATTTTTTTTAATTAAAGAAAATTTTAGCGCATTGCTGAGACAATTTTCTTCGTAATAAAAATACAAATCAAGGTGCAATTTTTTGTTGTGGGATCTATTATTGTTGCGGCAGGAAATGTGAAATTTTCTATTTCTTACTATTTCCTTCTATTTGAAATTTAGATTTTTATAACTAATAGATGACCCGACAGATGTTGTCCTGTACTTATATTTACAATTCAAAAGTTCCAATTTTTTTTAATAACCTATACTGATATTTATCAATTAGTTAAGAATTATTATGTTTTTTTACACTAATGTCTATACCGAAATGTATATACATCCATCCATATGGATCTTTAATGTGCAAATGCTTTAAATAAAATGATGAGTATTTGCTTTTAAAAACATTATAAAACATTTTTTTCTTATAATTAGTTCTTTTATCGATATCCGACGTTATATTGAAAGAAAAATGAAATGAGAGGGATGTCATTCCTCCAGGAAATGGCAAATGAGTCTAAATTATTTTCACTTTTGAACTTGAGAGTAAGATAAACCTAATTTCAAAATTTTATACAAATTGGAGCACAGTAAAAAAATCAGACCCAAAACGCTTCATTGACTTGAGTAAACAATAGATTATTATAAATACTGTAACTTATATATGTTTACAGGAAAGTAAATATACAAATCCTAATCAATTGAATATAAAATTAATGACATTGGCTAAAAAAATAGTATCCATACATACATACACACACATCCATTTATAATCCAAAATATTCAGGAACCTTCAAAATGTGTAGAAATGTAAAAATTCTCAATTTTGATTATTGGACGATTATAATAACTTACCCTACGGGCACTTAACAAAGTATTAACTCAAAAATTATGTGCAATATAGTTCAAAATAAAAATAGAACTGTCTTGATTTTTGACATATGACAGATTTCCATTTAATACTGATGACATACATGAAAAATCATTCATTTTAATTTATTTATCATACCTGAAGTGCCTTTTCTGGCAGAGCATCAAGGACATCCGGGACAATTTCCAAATTTTTAATTTTGGGTGACATTTCTTCCCCTTTTACCAGCAGCGGTAAACACGCTATAAGGAATATAGCGTCAATTTTTTTGAACGCCATCTCGAACAATTGTTTCACCACAAACAAATGAAAAACTATATACAATTTGTTTAATTTGATTACAATATCATATTTTATTTAACTTCTTTGTTGGATTTAGAATTAATGGCTAATGTTCTCGGCAACGAACGCTTATAACAGCGCTTGAATCTTGTTTCAGTACCGTTTGTTGACTAAACGGTATTTGAAAAACTTTAAACAAGTACATAATTGTTTTTACATTCCGGATTTATTGTTTTATTTTCACACCGTTGCCATGTAGGTATTTATAAGTATATCTAGGTAGTTACGATAACACTCACATGTTAAATCAAATAATTTAATCGATAAGTATTAGCATGTTAAACAAAAATAATGGCCAACAATTTATATTTAATGATCTAAGGCATCTAGAAATGTTTACTAGCATTTTTTGCACTTGCGTATGTTAATTATATGATTTGCTTATATAATAAACACTGAATAAATTTACATCGATAATTGTTTTTTACAATAGCAAAGAATTTATATTATTTTAATTCTAACAAGAATGCGCCTGGCTTGTCTTAACAAATTCAACAGGTAGATGAGACACGTTGATGCCTTGAAATCAGGTGTATTTTTAGCAAGTTTGGAAAATTTGCTATGTTAGAATTTTGCAATGTGATCAGGTCCAATTTAAAATATTATAATCTTTTATCTACTTTATAGTCAACATACAGCCTCTATGTAAATGGGTTTTAAATTTGTGATTTGGTTATTTTGAATAGCATATTTTGGATTTAATTGAATTTGCACATATAAACTGTCTCTATATTCTCTATTTTTCGCGAACAGGCCATTGTGAATGTTTTGTTTTACTAACTGTAAAATATAAAATAAATTTGATATTTATTATTATTATTGTATTAGGAATAATTTCAAAATTCTATTCTTATTATTATTATTATTAATATTTCTATACAATGATAACATTTTAATCAACTTTTTAGAGAGAGAAAATTTTATTTTCATTTAAAGAGGGAAAAAATCAATTTCCAACCAGCATCTCCCAACTCTTTAGACAACAATCAATAGAAATTTATAATATTATAATAGAATTCTTAAAACTATGTAAATTAGATGTTTAAATGTGGAAAATTACTTTATTTAATACTAGCTTTAGATATTATTATTCGCGTATAATTGATTATGATTATGATTATGGTAATAAGGAAGTATAGTAAAAAATTAATGAAGAGTGTGTTTGATCAAAAAAATATTTAGATTTATTAATTTTTCGAAGAAAAATTTGATGTTTCCGCCAAAAATTCTATTTGCTGATTTTATAGTTTCTCTACGTTTCAAGTCGCTCTGAATCATTTAATATTAAAATCGTAGAATATTTATGTATAAGAGTCAAAATTTGAAAATTTGAATCTGTACCGATTTCTAAAATGTAAATACAATTTGTCGAAACGTGATCAGTACACATTTATTAGCTTTGCGGGATGATCTGTCGAGCAGTTTCTTTATAATCAGGAGATAAATGCAACATATTTCACCTACGTTTTATACAAAATTCCTGACAAATTTTACAAATATAAAGATATTAGTTGGGATCAGTTGGTAAAGACCAGCCAGACTTTAGCAATAAAATTCTTCGTAATTAATTGTGAAAAAAATATTTTTAATAATTTTAATACAACTTTGTATGATGATAGAGATCATGTTTTTAATCTACATCTTGATATAATATAGAGTGCAAATGCAGCAAAGGTTGGAATAACGATCCTTGTCAAAATTTCCAAAATTCTTCATAAATGTTTATTTTATTAAGTTCCATAAATAGTCTCTATAATTCTAAATATGTAAACATAATTTATTCTTTATCACTGATTTACTGATAAACGGTTGCATTAAAATGTTTGTAATTTTGTTTTGCTCATAAATACTTTTTTCATGAGACAACCTTGCATGTCTGGTTTATAAATCGCTTGGTCACAGGCCACTTTGCAGTCATTCATGTCTGAGACATCATATTGCACGTGGTTTCAGATACGAACTTGAAATTGAATTGAATTAAATTGAATAAATTTGATAAATTTATTTATGTAATATATTTCTCTAGCTTTTTCTTCATAATTAATTATATGCATTTAGTGTGATTTTAGAGTAAGGATATCTCTAGATATTCTACGTTTTTTTTATTTAATCAATGTACATAAATTTTTTGGCAAATAGATGGTCCGAGTTCCTGAATTTAACTCTCATAAATAAACTTGACCTTATCGCTTTTTTGCGAATTTACGCCGTCTATATACAAATGCATGTTGTACTAGAACACGTGCCTAGAAATCATTGATAACAAATATAATATGATAAATAAAATGTTTATAGATGCATTTCTATAATTAGATATTAAAAGAGCAATGTTGCTTTAGACCTTCCTGTAAAAACACTAACGTCTCATGTATTTTTTTAAAACTAACAAAATATAAAAAATATATTTATTTAATAAAACTAAATAAATAATAAAGATATTAACAACCAAAAAATCTAACAATTATAACAAAGTCATAATTTTCTTGGGCTTAATCTTACAGAAACTCCATTCTTGGACTTCAGTGTAACCTCTGCATATACTATGGGTTCATTTTCAGGACCAGCTGGTAGTATTTCATAGTTTCTTAACATTTTTGAAAATACTGATTTTAATTCTAGCATTGCGAATTTTTGCCCTGTAAAATTAATAATGTGATCAGTCCAGATTTGTATAGATTTATATTATATATGGTCATTTATTACCTATGCAATTTCTAGGTCCTGCACTAAAAGATACATATTCATATGGATGTTTATTAGTTCTGTTTTCTGGTAAAAATCTGTCAGGATCAAAGTGTTCAGGATTTTCATAGATATCAGGATTTCTGTTCATTGCATATATCAAAATAACTAGATCGGCACCTGCTGGTATGAGTTTTCCATCTAGAAAAAAAAATTGAATATACTTTTGTTTGTTTTGTGATTTAATTAGATTCATAAAGATTGATATTTACTTAAATCGATATCTTCTTCTGCTAATCTTCCGATAATTGGAACACTTGGATACAATCTTAAAGTTTCTTTTATGAATCTATCTAAATACTTCATGTCGTTGAAGTCTTTGTATGATGGGTGTTGGTGTTTATCGGTTCCAAATATGGCAATTTGTTCTTCTAAAGCTTTTTGCTGATGAAGACGTAAGAATTTCAATGCATTTCTCAAACAATATTTTATTATATACTCTTATTTACCTGTACTTCAGGATTTTTCGCAAAACAGTATAAACCAAATGCTAGTGCCGCCGTTGTGGTGTCATGTCCCTATTGATATAATAATTAAAATAATAACAATTTTTATTTTGTGCTAATAAATTATCAAATGTATGTTTTTGTTTACCTCGAACATAAATGTGGCCACTTCATCCCTAATCATTTTATCCGGCAAATTCTTTCCTTCAATTGTTGTAGTCAGTAACATATCCAAGAAAGCAGTTTTCTTTTTGGTTTTTGATCCATCATTTTCAACTACGTGTTCAGTAATAAGATGAGGATTTTCTCGGATTAATTGAGCACGATTTAAGATAACTTTATCATTGAAAGAAAATATGATGCTTAAAGCTTTTTTCTGCAATCTGTAGCATACAGATAATCTGAACAAGGCCTCAAATCTCTTCCAGGCGCTGAAACCGCGTTGCATCATGACGTAACATACGCTAAAAATATAAAGTTTATTTAAACAAGCACGGGAAATAATAATTATAGACAATTATCTATTTTATTAGATTAATATATGTAATTTTATTCATTTATTCATGAGTAAACCATGACCTAGAACAATGCACTAGTATAGACATATTATTTCATGCTCTTGTTGACGCAGTTTGCTATTTCCTCATTTTAATTTGGTATTTGATATATTGAATAGTCTTTATCTATTATATAATATTATATGTAATTGATATCACAATCATTTTTTATGTAATACTAACAAACCGGGCGAACTCCGTTTCACCACCAGATGGTTTCATTTTATATAACATTTCGTTTGGTGATTAAAAGATGAAGAAAATTTGCTTGCTGTTGAAATTGAATAAAAATTTGCACAATACACATGATTGATTTGATGGTTTTCAATTGAGATGTAAGGAAACGAATATCTTATATTTTTACTTTTTTTGCACAATTTCACAATAAACACAATGCCGGTTTGTCACATTAAATTAACTGAGCAGAGAACAATGAGTAGCTGTCAAACAAATGAGTAGCAGTCAAACAAAAAATATTAGTTTGTAGTACATGCTGTATGTGAAAAAAGAAAAAGTGTTTTCTGCTTTTCTGTTGAAATCTTTCTTCAATTTTCTTTGCTATAAGCCTCACGGAGTCCGAGACCTTTCCAACGAATGCAAAATCGTCGAAATCGGTTCGTGCGTTCTGGAGTTATATCGTCAGGAAGGCTTATTTTTATATAATAGATTATGTACATATTCTGTTCTAATTAAATAAAATATGTGCAAGAGTTCAGCACTTATTATAAGTGAATCAAGCTACTGATACTATTTTTTTTTTCTTAAAATATTTGAAACATAATAAATATATCTTATAGAAAACTTACTCATAAATAGACCGCACTATATCGGAACTTGGATCATCTTGAGCATTTATCTTGATACCCATTGCGCTTTCTGCAGAATAAAAAATAGTGTTAGCATATTAGGGTCCCTTAAAAATCCTTTTCTATTGCATAGAACTTTAATCCTTAATAAAGGTAATTTCAATTTTAATTTAAATCAAAGCTTGGTGATTTATTTATTACCTGTAACTGCATCCAAAGCACATAAGGTGACATACTGATAAATGTCAACAACTCTGCCATCAGCTTTGTCACTAAGTTTCTTGATCATGATATCACTACACCGATTGAAAACTTCTGCATATTGCTCCAAAATTTTGAAGTGAAATGTGGGTGTAATAATTTTTCTGCTGTGACGCCATTTATTCCCTGCAGAAATATAATGGAAAAAAATCTTGAAAATGAAATGCTGCAGATTGATTTTTTTTTGTCGACTCTAGTAGAAACTAGTTCTATGTCTAATAAATTATTTGATATTCTAAATCTATTATTTATGAACTCATCAGCTTTTTAAGTGTAAAAAGTTGATTAATTATTATAAATAATTCATTATTCGTGATATTTAAATTATCCTTGTAGCAATGTTGCCATTACCCGAACTTGTGAGAAGTCCACTTCCCAGCCACGGTTCTAAAAACTGGTAGTCCCTCATTTTGGTAATATGCGTCGTACTGCTCAATATTACCTGAAATTATATATATACATATGTATATTTATATCTGTAAGCATGTATATTAATGCCACAATACCAGTTGTTTCCGATTCGACGATATAAATATATTCTCAAATTGATGATCATGCATATTTTGATAACCGAGGTTTTACTAACTGATTGCGTTTATTTATTTGAATTATGATTTTGCTAATTAACAATTACTAAAGTCGAAATACTATGTTAATTTTCTCACATAAATAACTAAATAATTTGATTTTATTACCTCGACGTCGTCTGGCTGGGTGAGCACAACAAAATAGTCCATGCCCATCCACAATCCAAATAATTTGCGGTTGTATTTGTTCCAAAGGACCATGAGCCATCTTAGAAATTCTGCAATAAAAAAGATTGTTATTGGAAACCTAACGGTCGGCCTAACAATTTTTGGTGAAATTATTAATAATTAATTTGGGGTAAGGGCTACTTTTACTTGGAAACATTGTAAAAACCGATGTCTCTACATGACTTTTTAGGAATATCAATCATGGATTCTGATTGGAAGCCCAAAGCCTTAATCACTAAGCTACGAGACAGCCCAAAATATTATATAATGCAATGATTTGAAAATTAAGTTATTTCAAAATTTATGGAACGTCTGGTTCAGCATTTAGTGATAAGATGCGATTTTTTAAAGATCAAGGGTCAAAGTTGTAACCCCAAGACAAATATTGAAAGTAAAATGAAGTATTTGCCATATCATTAATTTTACAACTGATTTTTTATGTTTAAAATAATTCATTTATTGATCGCCAAAATTGATTATTATTTTTAGACATTTTTTTTTGTGTTTATAATGATAAAGGGAGCGTTAAGATAAGTCCTTGATAACCAGGACCTCCTGGTTCAAGCTCCACTTTTTTTGATAAAAACGACAACCGTTGGGTTGCCTTGTAGTAACGTGATATATTTTATATAAAATAATAAACACAGAAATTAGCATCGTTTACGACAGTTTATAGAACACCTAATTCTAATTTCTTTTCAATAAAAATAATGATGATACGCAAACTATTAAAGCTATTTTTAAAATAGTTTGTAGTATAATACAGCAGATTATGAAGAAGCTATTATAAAAGCACTTCAGATATTTATAGACATTTTTTTTAGAATAATAACATTTTGCTGTGTATACACTCACTCAATGCTATATTGTAAAGGTAGGTCAAGACGTTCAGGTATCAGTAATTAGATATGATATTATTTATAAGGAGAGTTTAATTTGTAAAAGAGGATATTTAATTTGTATGTATTATCTTTAGGCATATCACAAGCAATTAACTGTTAATAGAATAATATATTTTTTTTATTTTTTAACAAAAATACCAATGAAATTTTTATCTGGTTAATGCTCCAAACAATTTATTTGTAGACTCGAAAATATTTTTTTTAACAAAAGCATCAATGGCGAATAATAACGAATATAGAATATTTTTATTGCAATTCAAAAAATATCTTCAAAATAAAATAAGTATTATTATTTATATTTTTGGACTTACCGACTGGATCCGTGCCAACCTCAAAAGCGCTTCCAACAATAGGCCAAGGAGTCTCTCCTGGTAACTTATCTGCATACCTCCTAACTCTGTTAATCCTTGTATAAACGTACACAGTAAAAACCATAATCAAAACCAAAATTAAACAAAACATCATAATTAATTAATTTTTACACATAAATCTTTTACACAGTATCTATTTCGGCCGATTCCTATATACTGAGGAGTTTTATCAGCCGCGTCTTGAATTAAACAAACACTCAGCAATCAATTTGTATATTATAATAAACAAGCTGGATATGTCACAGTGCTGAAGATGTGATAGTATACCCGGTTTAAATTTTTTACTTTCGTTGCTAAAACCTTGAAACAATATAGTGACGGGGCCTTGGTCGGACATTTGTTACCGGAGTTAATAATATAAACATGGGTGCGTCATAATGCAATTAGAAATAATCACATAATGAGGTAAATGACATTATTTAATAAATTATGATAGCAATTATGAAGCTTCATTGATATCCATGTATTTATTTAAACAAAATTGTTATTTTCATGCGTAGTATTGCATTCTGAACATTTATTAACAAGTTAATCGTCATATCAGTCATATATGACTTTGAAAAGTCTGACATACTCGATTTAGTTTTAATATAAGATCATGTCAATATCTTATTGTTAGTATTGTTAGCACTAACAATATCTTATTGTTAGTATTCTAGTTTGTAAATTTGTAAATTTGAACAATTTTTGAACTTCAAGTTTAGAAATTCATTCAAGACCCGAAAGTTTTTCTTCGAGCCAACGATTTTATTACAATAATATATAAAATAATTTTACATATATTTACATCCCAATAATTTGAGATCTGACATATATATGTTCATGTTTATATTCAAGGTTAATGATAAATGCAAAAAATAATAATGAAATCGCAAAAAACTTGTATATAACGCAATGATGAAATCAATGGTGTGAAATTCACTAAATTAATTTATTCGTTTGGGGCTAATTTTAGTAACAGTAATTCATATTTATTGAACGATTTGTTATAAATTTTCATCAAATTTATTTTTTGATAAAATCAAAATGCATCGAGACCTATTTGAATATTTTGTGATTATTACAATATAATAATTTGTTTTTCTCAAATTTAAAAGCGAATGTTTCAATAGGGCGGATATATTATTCAATTTCATGCAAATGGCCTGCCTGAGGAGAGCTATTTTTACCTGGAAACATACTGAAATCCAAGTGAGAATTGATGAAATTGAAATTGGTATATGATTTATAAGTACGAATATTTTAATTAAAATTAACTCTGTAAAATTCTCGGGATCATTGACAGATTAGATAAACATACATTTTCAAACCGAATGTAATCACGTTTTAACTTCGTCAAATTGCTATATTTACATAATACTCAATAAAAATGCGTGATTTAAAAAGCGATAAAAAATAGTTTTAATATCAAATATCATTGCTTACATTGCACATAAAATACTCCGAATAGTTATATAGATAATTAATGGTTTTATTTTAATAATTATAATGAATTTAATTAAATTAATACTTATAATAAATTTAATTTAATAATTTCGGAGTTTAATTTTAATCTTGGCACCATTGACGGACTTCATTGTAACCTCATCATATATCTTCACTGCATTTTCCGGTCCAGCTGATAGCAACTCAAAGTTGCGCAAAACTTTTGATAGCACTGACTTGATCTCTAATAATGCGAATTTTTGTCCTGTAAAATAAATTTTATAATATAAATAATTATACATTATTATATTAGGTATATCTTATATAAACTTTATTTACCAACGCAGTTCCTTGGCCCCGCACTAAACGCCAGATATTCATAAGGATGTTTATTCGTTCTATTTTCGGGCAAGAATCGATCTGGATCAAAACGTTCAGGATCATCAAAATATTTTGGATTTCTATTCATAGCATATATGAAAATCATTACATAAGCCCCTGTCGGTACAATTGCTCCATCTAAAATTATGAATTCCTAATATTTGTTGTTGATCACTTGATATCGCAACATACTTATATTGGTATCAGTTTCTATTTTCCTGGCTATCATTGGTACACTTGGATATAATCTGAGGACTTCTTTAATGAACCTATCAAGATATTTCATGTTTTGGAAATCCTGGCTTGTGGGATGCTTATTTCTATCACTACCGAATAATTCGAATTGTTCTGCAAATGCCTTCTCCTGTAAAGATCATTCCAAATACAGAACAAAATACGTCAAAACAAAGATTTGGTTAAATATCACAAAATTAATTTTGAAAAACAATTGTTATTTATATTCCAATTTATGCATACCTGTGCTTCAGGATAATTAGCCAAACAATATAAACCAAATGCCAATGCGGCAGTTGTAGTGTCATGGCCCTATAATATATTATAATATTTTTTTTATAATTCACAAGCAATTTGTATTTGGATATGAAATACATACTGCAAACATGAAGGTAGCCACTTCATCCCTTATCATTTGATCTGGTAAATTTTCTCCATCCGTGGTGGTAGTCAATAACATATCAAGAAATGCAGTTCTTTTTTTCATACCAGAAATTTTATCATCATCATTATTGCTATTAGTATCATTCGGTTCATTATTATCAATACCTTTCTTGTTTCGCAATATATTCGATCGCTCAACAATTACTTTTTCATTAAATGTAGAAATAATATTCAAAGCCTTTTGTTCAAGTTTAAACGTGTCGGAAAATTTATAGAGAAATCCAAATCGCTTCCAAGAACTAAATGTTCTTTGCATAAGAATATAACACATGCTAAATAGAAATAGATGTATGATTAATAAGTTCATGAGAGCAGTTAAATAGATTGTTAGTACGATTTCAATGAACTTACTCATAAATTGATTTTACCACTGCAGAGTTTGGTTGATCTTGGGCATTGATTTTTATGCCCATGGCACTTTCTATGAAAAATATTATTTTTTTTATAATTTATCTAGTCGTTTAACTTCTCAAGTGAGGTAATTTTTTTTTTATTTTATTTATTTATTTATTACATTATTTATACATCATTTTCATATCTCAAACAGACAGAGGTGCCTGGTATGAGAGATTATGAAAACAGTTTTCATTTAAGATTATATAATACTTTGTAAAGAATTTGTAAATACCTGTTACAACATCCAAAGCACATAAAGAAACAAATTGATGAATATCTGTCACAGTACCATCCGCATGTTCTTCTAATTTTTTAACCAAAGTATCACTACAACGGTTCATCACCTCTGCATATTCCTCTAAAATTTTAAAATGGAATGTGGGTGTAATGATTTTTCGGCTATGTCGCCATTTATCGCCTATTAGAAAAAGAATAAATTTGCATTAATTGAATATGAATTACTTGTCTTATGTCGTATGTAATTGTTTATGTTTTACCTGTGGAAGTTAACAAACCAGATCCAAGCCATTTGTGCAGAAAGTCATATTCTTTTGATTTGGTTATATTCGTGGTATTGCTTAGAATAATCTAAATATAAGTATAAATAGCTGTGAATTCAAATTCTTAAAATTATTTTTATATATTTTTTTATAAAATCAAAATTCAACATATCTCACAATTTACAAAATTTCAATCCATTAAACGATAGTTTAATTATAATGTCTTAGTTTCTTTACCTCAACATCATCAGGTTCTACTAAAAACACAAAATAGTCCATCCCAAGCCAAATACCAAATCGAGAAAATTTATACTTATCCAAATATTGCATAAGTTTTTGTAATAATTCTACAAAAAATTATATCAAATCATAAAATTTAGTTTGGCTAATTTAAATTTTTATAAAATCTCACTCGTATGATCCGTCCCAATATCTAAGGCGTTTCCTGCTATAGGCCATGGTTGTTCTCCTGGTATCTTATCAGCAAATCGTCGCACTCGATTTAGCCTAAAATAGGCAAAAAAACACAACACAAAAATTAAAACTAACCAAAACAACATCACGTCTACGATTTTAGAATAAGACTGAATGATAAATTTATCATTATTTGTTGATATTCAATTTGTTACGACTAAAGCCGACCTTGTGTATTCACAGAAACTCGACGAGATTTGCCTATGCATTAGACGCTTATTTCAAGATTAAAACATGCATGTAATTGTGTAAATAAAGTAATTAATTCTTAGAAGAAGATGGAGGCAATGTAAGAATTTAATCAGTATCAAATTTGAAGTTCGAATTTCATAATTCTTCAGGTTCATAAGATACTACATAGGTTTGGTTACCTAGATTTTACCTGGAAGTATTATGCTTCATTCACGAACAATTCATTACATAAACATTCTAATTTTCATAATTACATAAACACTCTTTCGACTTCGATGTTGATAATATAAAATTTTGAGTTTTTGTCCCAAAAATTTGAAGACATGTTTACTTACAAAGGTTGGGTTTTTGTACGAAATTTGTGAAAAAAATAGCTCAGAAACATTAAAATTTATAACAAATGTGCTGCTTCTTCTAAAGTGATTATATAACTTGTATTTGTAAAGTTTTTATAACTAACATTTGATATTTGTAAAGATAATATTATAATTCAAATATTTTAATTTCTATAAAACTTTTAAATTTTTGCTTTGATTTTTAATTTAACTAGAAAAATTATATACGCAAAGTTATATTTACTGCTTTTTTGATATTATCTTTTTAGATAATATTATCAACAAAGAATTTTTTATTTCGATAAAAGTATTTCAATTACATTTGAATTTGGCGCTTTGCTTTTGATATGGTTGACAGATTGCTGTGACTTGCGTTTATCTTCATGCATGTTTGTGGTTGGATTGCTTTTGCGCAAATGTTTCATTAAGAAATTGTAGTTAATAATTTTAAAAATTAAGGCAGGAGAAATTTAATAATTTGTACAATGGATATAGAAACTTTATCTGCTCATTTAGGCAGAGTTAAAGTACCAAACTCATCAGATAAAGTTTATAAAGATGAGTGTGTGTTTTCATTCGACAACCCGGTGTGTAGGTTATGATTATTTAGCATTGTCATTATAGATTCTTCAGATAAAATATCTATATATAATTATTTATATAATGTTTTACACTAATTGGTTTGTATTAATTTACAGGAGTTTGAATCAGGTTTATATGTTAATCTTACCACTTTTTTGGGCTTGGGTAGAGATCATATCGAAGGCTACACTCAACACACTGGAAATAAATTATATTTGCATATGCATCGTGAAAGAAAAGAGGTAATTTTTCAAATTAGCATTACTACGTTTTCAGACGAAAGATTTCTTAATTTATACATATTTATATTGTCCTCATTGTATGGAGTAGATTTGTCAGGGCTCCTATTTAAATATTTTTCACGGCATCTTACAACCTATATGAAAATGTAGAATCTATTCATATTTTAGAATAAAATTATTATATGTATATTATAAGGTTGCCCCTGACCAGCTTGGAGATGGTCCTGAGAAGAAAATTACTCGACTTGCAATTGGTGTAGAAGGTGGATTTGATCCAAACATCGATAAAGGAAAATTTGAGTATACAGATTATTATTCTGTGGTACTTGTGCCAGAATTCCTTACAATAAAATGGCCGAACCAAGATTTACCAGAAATAGTAAGTTAAATATCTATATATATTGAACAAATTTTGCTTTATTTTGATGTTGAATTTTGAAATGTAATTGCTGTTATTTTTACTTCAGATAAAGCAATCAGTTCAAGGCATTTTAGATGCTCAATCTGCTACTAAACTGGCAGAACTGGAGTCATTATCAGGAACGTGGGATGGTGAGGCTAGATTAGTTTCAAAGCATTCTCATACTTTGCAACAGCTCAACAATGGAAAAAAAATTCCTCCAAGCAATTGGAAATGTGAGAAATGTGATCTCACCTCGAATTTATGGCTTAATTTATCAGATGGATCCATTTTATGTGGCAGAAAATTTTTTGATGGCACAGGAGGAAATGATCATGCTGTAAGTCAAAACATCAAATGGATTCGTCATCAAATAAATATTGATTGAGCTTATATATGAGTTTTTTTACCAATAGGTTGAACACTACAAAGCCTATGGTTATCCTCTGGCTGTTAAATTGGGTACAATAACTAAAGAAGGTAAAGGTGATGTTTTCAGCTACGATGAAGATGATATGGTAGAGGATGTTAACTTAAAGCAGCATCTAGCACATTTTGGAATCAATATAACTGATTTAGAAAAGGTTTGTGAGACAATATTAAATACCCATAAACGATTCCAGATTTTAAAGCATTTTGTTGCTTCTATAGACTGAAAAATCTATGGTAGAATTGGAGCTTGATTTAAACCAGCGAGTAGGGGAGTGGGGTGCTCTTACTGAAAGCTCAAATGCCTTGAAACCTGTTTATGGTCCTGGTTATACTGGACTGAGAAATTTGGGAAATTCATGTTATTTGAACAGTGTCATGCAGGTAAAATTAAAACCTATGATAAAAATATAATGCTATTTAAACAATTATATTTATAAAAATATCTTTTATTTTTAGGTATTGTTCACTATACCAGACTTTATTCTTAGATTTGTCAATGATGCACCTAGGATATTCAGCACATTTCCATTACATCCTGCAGATGATTTTAATGTTCAAATGTAAAATACACTATTCTAAATCAATAGAGGAGTATATATTATTAATAAAAAATATTTTTAGGGCAAAACTAGGCACAGGATTGCTAAGTGGTAGATATTCACTGCCCCCAAGTGGGTCTCACGAAAACCCAGGAATTGCTCCTAATATGTTCAAAAACCTAATTGGGAAAAACCACCCTGATTTTTCTAGTAAAAAACAGCAAGATGCACAGGAGTATTTGTTGCATTTCATAAATATTTTAGAAGTACAAATAAATTTCTATATTCTTAATTTAAATTTATATGTAGTCCACTTGCTTATTTATATATTTCTTTATTTTCAGAGAAATAGTAGAAATAATGTTAATCCTGCAGATGCACTTAGATTTACTGTTGAGGATCGAGTGCAGTGCATGGCTTCTCAAAAAGTTAAATACACAACAAGGGATGATTGGTGTTTACCATTACCTATTCCTCTTGATGCAGCTATTAACAAGGAAGAAGTTGCAGAATATGAAAGATGTAAAATGGAAGCTGAAAAATGTGGCCTAAGAACGTTCGTATTGTTATGTCATAAAATCTGTCAGACTTTAAAAGATAGCACTTCTCTTATATATGAATACATCAAAATATTACCTGACTATTTGTTGTTTTAGAGATCCTGCACTAACTGTACGACCGAAAATTAAATTGTCTTCCTGTTTGGAAGCATTTAGTCGAGTTGAGATAGTTGACCAATACTATAGTACTGCTGTAAATGCAAAAACAACTGCAGCCAAGTATGTTTATCGTATACACTAAAAAGCAAAATTAAATATTTTATATTAAAATTAATAATATTTAGAACCTGCCGTCTTGCCACTATGCCTGATTACTTATTTTTGCATTTAAAAAAATTTACTCTGAGGGAGGATTGGGTTCCAGTCAAATTAGATGTAGCTGTGGAGATGCCCGACATTTTAGATTTATCTCAGTTAAGAGGCAATGGGTTGCAACCAGGCGAAGTTCTATTACCTGAGTTAACTGGACCACCACCCCCAATGCCACCGATGGATGAAGGAGTGATGGCACAATTAGTAAGAATATCTGTAAAGAAAGAAAGAAATCTTTAAAGCTTCAATTTTTTCTTTCACATTTTAGGTTGAAATGGGTTTTCCATTTGAAGCTGTTAAACGGGCAATGTTCTTCACAAAGAATTCTGGGTTGGAGGCAGCTACTAATTGGATGATGGAACATATGGCTGATTCAGACTTTGCTGATCCTTTTGTGCCACCAGGACTTGATAGGAAATCTGATAACTGTATGTTAATTTGCAAAACATTCTTTCATAAATAAATATCTAATCATATTCATGCTTACAGCTTTTGTGCCAAATGATGAAGCACTGAGTATGATTATGGGTATGGGTTTCACTAGAGATCAGGCGATTAAAGCTTTGAAAGCTACTGACAATAATATTGAAAGAGCTGCCGATTGGATTTTTTCTCACGCTGGAGAATTAGACAGCATGGAAGATGACTTTAGTGCAAACCAGGGCAGTGAAGGTGCTTGTAATTCCGGTGTTTCAAAATGCAGAGATGGACCTGCCAGTGAGTAAAACTAATATTTAGAAATTTAAAGTATTTCAAATCCTATTAAATATTTTTATTTAATATAGAATGTACTCTTATTCGTATGATTGAAATAAGTTAATAATTTACTTTCAGAATATCAATTGGTTGCATTTATATCACATATGGGTACTTCAAGCATGGTAGGTCACTATGTTGCACATATATTAAAAGATGATCGCTGGGTTATATTTAATGATGAAAAAGTAGCATTATCAGTAAATCCACCAAAAGAATTGGGTTATTTGTATCTTTATAAAAGACTGTAGGTATTTAATGATACTCATTTTTAATGAAATTGATTCATGCAGATTTATTATAAATTTTTAAATAAAAATGTTTCAAAACTGATTAATCTGTTACTTCACCTCATTATTTATAACTTTGTTAGTATTTATAAAATGAGAAATATGTATTAAGTATTTTATACATAAAATAAATGTATCTGAAGTGCCGAGTGTTTGGAAGCTTAATGTTTTATTTCAATTTGTTTAGTATTTTTTTATTTCGAATTTGATTTACAAAATAACTTCTTATTAATAGGTATTTGAAAAAAATGCTTCCAAATAATCTAAATAAGGCAAATATTTAAATTTCAAATAGCAAAATAATAACCAAATTTTATTTAATTCTATTATTTTTTTTGCTAATTTAAGATAGCCAAAATAAAAAATGAAAATCAGTATTGTGCATTTTAATATTTTGGTCTCAATTCAAATATTATGTTACAAAACTTAATAATATAAATATTTCATAAATTATTGACATACAAAAAGAATTCAGGAAAATATAAAATATGAGTAAAAAATCTGGATGTCCGTGCAAAAAAACTGTGGAAGAAGTTCAAGATTTAAATCCCGAACCGTCTACATCGAGCGGCCGAAAACAACAACCGCGTTCACGATGCCGTGTCATGTTCGAAAAATTACGTCCTGCTCCTGATATAACAATGTTTGATAAGGATCCGTTTGCAGATAGCCCATTGATGAAATTTCGAGCTGCACATGGTCGTTCACGTGCTATTCAAGATAGGTTAAAAAATTATGGTGCCGAGCAAATGCGTCTCTTACGCGAAAAGCGAACGGTACGACCACCCAGTACGACTATGAAGATTCCAGAATCTGAAGATGTGCCGAGAGCAGAATTGCGCAAACATGTCAACGAAAATTGGCCACCGCCTATGCTGAAAAGTTGGGAACGAGACATGGCTAGACGAGTTCCTGCGCCGTTGAGATTAAAATATGGTCCATTGCTGAACTCGCTCATGGAAGATGCAAAGGCAGAATTTAATGAAGGTCTGCGCATCCTTGGCATTCGTCGCCTTTTACAGCCACAACCTTACGATGACTGGCCGCAACTCGAGCCGCCTGGGTTTCGATTCGACGGTCGAACAGAACGATATCCTCTGTTCTTGAAACGAAGAGCTCGTCTGGAACGTACCCTGTTTCCTTTACGCAAATTCATGCGCGGTATATTACACAAGTCAGTGACAATGCTTCCGAACCACCTCAATGACTACACCCAGTATAGGAAGCAAGGTATGATGGACTTTAATCGCCTTCGCGGCCTGATGTCGTTCGATCTTCGCAAAGGTGAGATGCTGATCACAAACGGTTGGTTTCCAAAAATTGTGGCTGGTTTTAAACAAGAGTGGCTCAGTAAGACTATCCCTGATAAGCTGAGACCGCGCTATCTGAAATGCATTCAAGGATACATTTGCTTGCACATCATACAGACAATGCAGCGGACAATTGAGCATGCTATAGATGTGAGTTTTATCTGAAATAGAACTATATGTTATTTACGTAAAGTATAATTCACAAATATGTATTAACACTGATATTTTATTGTTGACTTAGTTATGAAATCAAGTTGCTGCTTATATATATATAATTATATATATATATATATATATATATATATATATTTGCTTTTGCCTACCTCCAATTATATGATCATCTATATGATTTATCAAGCTATATAAAAATATTGTCAAAAACTTCATATATTTAAGTAAAAATTTATATATTTACATAATATGATTTCATTTGTTTTTTTAAGCAATATTGATTTATTTGTAACATCGATAATTTTTTTTGTCGAATTACGCCCGATTATTAAACTCTATTAGTACATATTCCAACATGATTAAATTTTTAAGAAAGTTCAAGATTAAATACTTATTTAAGACTATACTTTATTATTTTATTTGTTATTATAATTTTTTTAAGACTTTTTTTTTATTTAGGTGTTTGGCGATCCATTGCGCATTCCATTCATCCGGGTGGATCTTTTCTTTGAAACGGAAACCGAAACTTTTCCGTCATTGATCGACATCTTTGCTACTTTCCATGGCGTTCTGGATGACATCTCAAAAATCGCCCAGCATCTCACACCACTAGAATTGGCGATAGGCAAACAAACAGATGTGACCTTTATCCCTGTAATTTTGCCAGAGTGGTATGTAGAACAAGTTCATTTTCGTCTTCAAACCATATTAGAAAATATTTTTCGTCCAATGGTGAGTTACATTAATAGTTTTACTGATGAATATTCGATCCTGTATAGTAGGGAAGCTCTTAATAGAATCGAAAATTTTATTGCTGAACACCAAACATTCGAAGAAGGGCGTTCTGAGATACAAAAATACAATAATATTATTTACGATCTTCATGGAACAGTTAAAAATGTTTATTTCGATATGGTTAAACTTTGTCAGGAAGACTTTTTGAATGCTATGATTAATTGTGCAGATAACATCAGGAACGACATTTTGTCTGGAATGCTTGAAGCTCATAGACGAGTAAATTTAAATATTTGCAAGCAATTTGAAGATATAAAAGAATATGCACTGAAAATACCAAAAAATACCGAAGAACTTATGGAAAGTGGAGTTTACATGCTCTGGGCAACTACTACATTCATGGAAGAAATAAAGGCAAAAATTGCTGATTCGGTGGCCCTAACAGGGCAATTTATGGAACTAACAACATTAACCAAAGAGCACGTTGCTTTAAATACTGCAACAATAAATTGGGTCAGTGATATTAAACCAATCTTTGAAACGAATTCATCAAATTATGAAGCTTATAAATTTGAATTTGAGGAAAACCTTGTCAGAGCACAGGAAAAGTTACGAGATGATATGAATAATTTGGTACCGTTGCTTTCTTACTTTGATATGATGGACGATTTGAACAATATAAAAATATACATTGAATTTTTAAGAAAATTTGTGAAGAAACTCTTTATATTTGAAAGTGATAAAGAATGGATTAATCAAGAAGAGAGTCTCTTCAAATTCCAGCAATCCGAATTTAAATTATTAAGTGAAATGAAAAATTTTGTTATGCCATTTTACAATCTTATATATCTTTGTTTCAAGTGGCAAAGATATTACTATACATGGATGGATGGTCCATTTGAATATCTGGAAGGCCCAGTTGTTGAAGAAATTACTGATGATTATATAAAAAATATTATGAGAATTAGTAAAACTTATAAAAATAAAATTCGCCAAGATATTCTTGATGGCGCTCCTCTGTGCTTTAAGGGTATTGTAGATGATCCTATTCCCTCAAATCTGCCAGCACCTTTGAAACTTTGCACAAGTTTAATAAATCACGTCAAAGGTTTTCGAAGCTATGTACCAATAGTGACGGCTCTATGTAATCCCACATTGAAACAAAGGCACTGGGAAGAAATGTCTAGCATTATAGGTTTTGACTTAACTCCAGATGCTGGTACTACTTTGCGTAAAATGATTGAATTAAACTTTGGACCTGCCTTAGAACAATTTGAAATAATAAGCGTTGGTGCCAACAAGGAACAACAACTATTTACGAATTTACAAATTATGATGTCTGAATGGAGTGGAGTTAATTTTTCGACTAGTGTATATAAAGATACCGGTATAACTATATTAAGCAGTTTAGATGACGTGCAAGCTGTTTTGGAAGATCACATTGTTAAAACGCTGGCCATGAGAGGTTCGGCTTTTGTAAAACCATTTGAATCTTCAGTCAGAGAATGGTATGATAAACTAGTCCGAGTTAATTCTACAATTGAAGAGTGGGGTAAAGTTCAAGCTCAATGGCTATATCTATTACCCATATTTTCATCAAAAGACATTGTTGCGCAAATGCCTGAGGAAGGTGTTTTATTTGCTGATGTTGATGGAACATATCAGCGCTACATGCAAGTTGTTAGTAAAGACCCAAGGGTTTTAGAAACCGCTTCCCTCCCTGGTCTTTTGGAAGCCCTACAAGCTTGTACTGAACATCTAGAAACAATAAACAATGGCGTTAATGCATATTTAGAAAAAAAGCGTTTATATTTTGCCCGATTCTTTTTCTTATCTAATGATGAAATGCTTGAAATTTTATCTGAAACCAAAGATCCTTTGCGAGTGCAGCCTCATTTAAAGAAGTGTTTCGAAGGAATAAACAAGCTCAGATTTGATGATAATCTTAATATTAAAGCTATACTAAGTGCGCAGACTGAAATTATAGAATTAGTTGATGAAGTGTCTACCGAAGAAGCACATGGCAGTGTTGAAAAGTGGTTATTGCAAGTTGAAGAACAAATGCTGAAGTCAGTTCGACAAGAAATTGATAACAGTTTTCTGGATTATGCAGAAACTAGGCGAGAAGTATGGGTTACAATTTGGCCAGGACAAGTAGTATTATGCGTATCTCAGATTTATTGGGCTACTGACGTTCATCGTAGTATGGAAGTCCATAAAGTATCCGAACTGGAACATTTTCATGATACATTAGTGAAACAATTGAATGATGTAGTAGCGCTTATAAGATCTCCTTTATTAACGAATCTTGCCAGGATTACAATAAAAGCATTGATTGTAATTGATGTTCATGCTAAAGATGTTGTACAAGAGTTGATTGATAAAAGAATTACTTATGATACAGATTTCCAATGGCTCGCTCAATTGAGATATTACTACCAGACTGTAGTTCTAGTTAAAATAACAAACGCTTGTGTTAATTACGCTTATGAATACTTAGGAAATACAGATCGTTTGGTTATAACACCTTTAACTGATCGTTGTTATCGCACGTTGATTGGCGCTTATCATTTACATTTGAATGGAGCTCCTGAAGGCCCTGCTGGCACAGGAAAGACTGAAACAACAAAAGATTTGGCGAAGGCTTTAGCAGTGCAGTGTGTTGTATTTAATTGTTCTGATGGGTTGGATTATAAAGCTATGGGAAAATTTTTCAAAGGCCTTGCAGCTTGTGGGGCCTGGGCTTGCTTTGACGAATTTAATAGGATAGAATTGGAAGTATTATCCGTTATTGCACAACAAATTCTCTGCATTATTCAAGCAGTCAGAAGCCATGTTGAAACATTTATTTTTGAAGGTACCGAATTACATCTGAATCCTAATGTATATGTATGTATTACGATGAATCCTGGTTATGCGGGTCGTTCAGAACTTCCGGATAACCTCAAAGTTTTGTTTCGAACTGTTGCGATGATGGTACCCGATTATGCAATGATAGGCGAAATTTCTCTGTATTCTTTCGGATTTGTAACAGCACGCACGCTTTCTGTGAAAATCGTAACAGTTTACAGATTATGCTCAGAACAATTATCTTCACAAAATCATTATGATTATGGAATGCGTGCCGTGAAAACAGTTTTATCCGCTGCCGGAAACAATAAGAGAAAATTCCCAGATGAAAATGAAGACATATTATTATTGCGTTCAATTACTGATGTGAACTTACCTAAATTTTTGTCATTCGATGTCCCATTGTTTCAAGGTATCATTTTGGATTTGTTTCCTGGCATAACGTTACCAGAAGTGGATTACGAAATTTTCCTGAAAGCGTTGCACGAAGTTTGTATCGACATGAAGTTGCAAGCCAAAGATAGCGTTATTTTAAAAGTAATTCAGACTTACGAAATGATGATTGTACGCCACGGCTTTATGCTTGTCGGAGAACCGTTTTCAGGTAAAACGTCCACATTAAAAGTTCTTGCAGCTACCATGACTAAACTTTTCAATGAAGGTCGCGGATATGCTATTACTCGGTATGAGTTTATAAACCCTAAGCAATAACTATGGGTCAACTGTATGGAATGTTCGATCCTATTTCATACGAATGGACTGACGGAATAGCATCTACGATATTTAGAGGATTTGCTAATGATCCTACGCCCGATCGTAAGTTTCTGATATTTGATGGTCCTGTAGATGCCGTATGGATAGAAAACATGAACACAGTCTTGGATGACAATAAGAAGCTTTGTTTAACTTCTGGAGAAGTCATAACCATGACCAATGTGATGTCAATGATTTTTGAAGTAATGGATTTGGCGCAAGCATCTCCAGCTACAGTATCACGGTGCGGCATGATTTATATGGAACCGTCTAGTTTAGGATGGGGTTCAGTTTTTGAATCATGGCTGTTGTGCGCAAATCCCGTGTGGGTCGAAGGATGTGAACGACTTTTACGAGAAATGTTTATTTGGTGTGTTACTCCTTGCTTAGATTATATACATAGAAATTGTCGTCATCTTGTATATTCTGGAGAAATAAATCTGGTCGTCAGCACAATGCGTATATTCGAAATGCAATTAAACGAAGCGTGCTCTGAAAACGAGCCGGATGAAATAGCTAAATATAAACATTGCTGGTTTCAAGGTGCGATGATGTATGCACTTATATGGGGTCTGGCAGGCATTTTGGATTTTGATACGAGGAACAAATTTGATGCATTTTGCAAAACTTTATGGAAAGAAGAAGATGAAAATAATCCGATACCTCAGGTTATGGAATCAATCGAAATTGCTGTTCCAGGAGAGGAATACTATTTGATTATATGTTTGTTTATAAAATGAAGGGCGTTTGGAAATATTGGCCGGATATCATAAAAGCTATTCGCACTGAAGAAAGCTCTACAGTCACTGCTCAAGTTATTCCTACAATAGATACAGCTCGTTATAGTTATCAGTTGGACTATCACGTTCGACATAACGTGCCAATGCTTCTTGTGGGACCTACTGGAACTGGAAAAAGTTTTTATATCCAGAGTTTTCTTATGAATAAATTATCCGAAGAAAAATTTGAACCGGCTTTCATAACATTCACTACACAGACGACGGCATATTTAACACAAGATTTAGTCATTTCCAAGCTACAGAAAAAGAAAAAGGGCATATACGGTCCAACCAAAGGGAAAATTTGTGTAATTTTTATTGACGATCTGAACATGCCTGCAAAAGAAAAATATGGCGCCCAGCCGCCAATCGAACTCATTCGACAATATTTTGATCACAAACACTGGTTTGATTTAAAAGCAGCTTCAAAACTATATGTACGGGATGTTTTATTTGTATCGGCTATGGGTTTGCCTGGAGGTAGTAGACAAGTTATCTATCATCGTTTTTTGCGACATTTTTGTATATATTCGATCAATGAATTTTCCGAGGAAAGTATGCATAAGATATTCAGTTTAGTGCTTCTAAGCGGTCTTAGAAAAAACGGATTCTCTACTGACGTCATGTTTTCAATTAATCAGATTGTCGCCGCAACATTAAATATTTATAAAATAGCTATGGCCGAATTGCTACCCACACCTCTTAAATCTCATTATGTTTTTAACTTAAGAGATATTGCTCGAGTAATCCAAGGATGTGCTTTAATAAGAAAAGAATCAGCAGAAAATCGAAAGGTATTTGCTAGATTGTGGGTTCACGAAGTTCTAAGAGTGTTTGGTGACCGACTTATTGATGATAATGACAGACTATGGTTACTAGATAAAATAGGGTATTCAACTTCCGAATATTTTAGGGACAAAATAACGATAGCCCTTGATGAATATACAGATGAGAATGGCGAAATAACTTTAGAATCGTTAAGGAATTTAATATTTGGAACATTCATGGATACCGAGAGTCTTGAAGAAGAGCGAAAATATGAGGAAATACCTAGCATGCAAGATTTTGCAAACATTGCAGAAGCAGGCATTTATGAATACAATGCAACTCATAAAAATAAGCTGAATATAGTGTTATTTAAGTATGCACTTGAGCATTTATCAAAAATTTGTCGTATCTTAGCAATGCCTAGTGGCAATGGCTTATTGGTCGGCGTAGGAGGTTCAGGCAGACAATCTTTGGTTCGCTTGTCTTCTGCACTTATGGGATACGCACTTTTCCAGCCGGAAATAACGAAAAATTATAATTTACAGTTCTGGAGAGATGACATAAAAAAAGTTATGAAAGATTCAGGAGGTCAAGGTAAGGATTTAATATTTCTATTTACGGAGATGCAAATAAAGGAAGAAGCTTTTCTGCAAGATATTGATAGTTTATTGAATTCTGGAGAAGTACCTAACATTTATGCGATAGATGAGAGGCAAGAAATATTAGAAATTACTAGACTTGCAGCACAAGGTGGAAATAGAAATTTAGATGTCAGCCCTTTACAAGTATTTTCATTTTTTATTAACAGAGTTAAAACTAAACTGCACATTATATTGAGTTTCAGCCCTATAGGAGGAGCTTTTCGATCAAGACTTCGTTTATATCCATCTCTAGTTAACTGTTGTACCATTGATTGGATGGAAGGATGGCCTGAGGATTCTTTAGAAATGGTTGCTAATCGTTACATGACAGAAATAAATATTCCAGAAGAAGTCAAAATGAATGCCACTATATGCTGTAAATATTTTCATGTATGTGCAGTACAGCTATCGGATAAATTTTTCGCAGAAACTGCTCGCAAAACATACATAACCTCTGCATCTTATTTAGATTTAATTAAAGCCTTTTCAGCTCATACGAACACTAAGCAAGATGAAATAATGACGGCTAAGATGCGATACGTAGTCGGATTAGAAAAGCTTTTAGCAGCAGCTGATGCTGTTTCAGAAATGCAGGTAGAGCTAGAAAAATTAAAACCCGAACTTGTAGTAATGGCAGATAAATCTAAAAAAATGATGCAGGAAATAGAAGTTGAGACTAGAGCTGCTGAAAAAACGTCAGAGCAAGTGAAAAAAGATGAAAAAGTAGCCAAAGTCCAAGCAGCACAATCACAAGCATTGAAAAAAGAATGTGAGGCCGATTTAGCATTAGCTATGCCAATTTTGAACGAAGCTTTGGCGGCATTGAATACATTGAAACCTGCTGATATAACTTTGGTTAAATCTATGAAAAATCCACCGGCTGCAGTTAAGCTAGTTATGGCAGCAGTTTGCGTAATAAAAAATATAGCTCCAGATAAAATACCCGACCCAAATAATCCTGGACGAAAGATTCTTGATTACTGGGGACCAAGTAAAAAACTTCTAGGTGACATGAAATTTTTAGAAAGTTTGAAAGAGTTTGATAAAGATAACATACCACCTGCAATAATGGATCGTATACGGAAAGAATTTATTCCGGATAAAACCTTTAAACCTAGTGTTGTTGCAAAAGCATCAACTGCGGCAGAAGGTCTGTGCAAATGGATAATAGCTATGGATTTATATGACGTTGTTGCAAAAGTAGTTCAGCCGAAGAAAGCCAAACTTGCAGCAGCAGAAAAAGAGTTTGCTGACACAATGGCAGTGCTGAATGAAAAACGTGAACTTGCCGCTCGTTTGGAAGAACGTGTTAGAAATCTTAATTCTGCTTTAGATGAAGCAAATACTAAGAAACAGCAATTAGAAGATGATGTTAATTTGTGTATTAATAAATTATTTAGAGCCGAAAAACTTATCGGAGGCTTGGGTGGTGAGAAAACAAGATGGACAAAAGCGGCTGAAAATTTACAGAATTTGTACGATTGTTTGGCTGGAGATATATTAGTTTCTTCTGGTGTTATAGCATATTTAGCACCATTTACCTCGCAATATCGAACAAATGCAATCGAAGATTGGCGAACAAAGTGTATTCAACTTCAAATACCCTGTTCAAAAACTTTTTCCTTCGCTGCCACTTTGGGATCTGATATTAAAATTGAGAACTGGTACATAGCCGGCTTACCAAGAGATGCTTTCTCAACTGACAATGCAATTATTCAAGACTCGTCATACCGCTGGTCTTTGCTTGTAGACCCTCAAGGTCAGGCCAATAAATGGATTAAAACTATGGAAAAGTTGAATAATCTCGCAATATTGAAATTTACGGACGCGACTTATATGAAAACTCTTGAGGGATGCATTGAGTCGGGAAGACCAGCCTTAATAGAAAATATTAACGAAGAACTGGAAGCCCCACTAGATCCACTGCTAGCACGACAAACTTTTAGGCAAGGAGGTATAGAATTTATGAGTATTGGCGATAGCGTCATAGAATATAATAAAAATTTTAAACTTTATTTAACATCGAAACTACGTAATCCTCATTATTTACCAGAAGTATTCAATAGAGTGACAATAATCAATTTTGCTCTAACTGTTGAAGGATTAGAGGATCAGTTGTTAGGAATTGTAGTTGCAAAAGAAAGACCTGATTTGCAAGAAAAGCGGCAAATGCTCATCATTCAAAGTGCTGAAAATAAGACCGCACTGAAACGTACTGAGGATGATATACTTAGAACTTTATCTGAATCTAAAGGTGATATCCTGGAAGATGAATCAGCTATAGAGATATTAGATTCCTCAAAAATCTATCAGATGATATAATGAAAAAACAAGAAATAACAAAAGAAACTGAAATTAAAATTGATGGTTTTCGTATGAGCTATAGGCCAATTGCTATACATTCTTCTAATTTATATTACTGTGTTACGGATTTGCCGAATGTCGATCCTATGTATCAATACTCTTTAGGGTGGTTTATTAACTTATATATTCTATCCATAGAGACTAGTAATAAATCTAAAGAACTTGAACGAAGGTTGCGATTTTTGAGAGAAACATTTACCTATAATTTATATAGCAATGTTTGCAGATCCTTATTTGAAAAAGATAAGTTGATGTTTTCATTTATTCTGTGCACAAAAATTATGTTAGCGTATGGAGATTTAGACCATAAGACATTCATGTTCTTTTTGACCGGAGGTGTTCATGTTGAAAATACTTTACCAAACCCTGCTAGTGATTGGTTAAATGAAAAATATTGGGATGAAATGTGTCGTTTAGATGATTTGCCAAAATTCAAAGGATTCAGACAAAGCTTTGTGGAAAATCTAGGTAAATGGAAAGCTATGTATGATATGGTTAATCCACAGGACGCAGTTTTACCTGATCCTTGGAATTCCAAATTAACACCGTTTGAACGCCTGATTGTCATTCGCTTGATAAGAGCCGATAAAATCACAGCATCGATAACATTGTTTGTTGATAAAGAAATGGGTACTAAATTCATAATGCCACCGGGATTTGATATTGCAAAATCCTATGATGAATCAAGTTGCTTAGCTCCATTAATATTTATATTGTCTCCAGGTGCTGATCCGATGGATGCATTAATTAAATTTGCAGAGCAAACAAAAATGACTGAAAAATTCAGCTATATATCTTTAGGACAGGGTCAAGGCCCAATCGCTCAGGTTTTAATACAGCAAGCCCAGTCAGTTGGAGGGTGGGTATGCCTACAGAACTGCCATTTAGCTGCCTCCTGGATGTCTAGTTTAGAAAAAATTTGGGAGAGTTTTGATATGGAAAATACTTCTCTACAGTTCAGGCTTTGGCTAACCAGCTATCCTTCCGATAAGTTTCCTACTTCTATATTGCAATATGGAGTGAAAATGACAAATGAACCTCCGACGGGACTTCAAGCAAATCTTATGCGTTCATATACTTCGGAGCCAGTTAAAGATCCAGAATTTTTTGACGGATGCCCCGGCAAGGAGAAAATTTTTGCTAAACTGTTGTATGGAATGTGTTTCTTTCATGCAGTTGTTCAGGAACGTAGAAAATTTGGTCCTCTTGGTTGGAACATACCATATGGATTTAATGAATCTGATTTTCAAATATCTGTGCGTCAACTTCAAATGTTTATAAATGAATTTGAAGAAGTTCCATATGTTGCAATTTGTTACTTAACCGGTGAATGCAACTATGGAGGACGTGTTACTGATAATTGGGATCGACGTTGTATTGTAACAATTTTAGATGATTTTGTTAATCCCCGTGTAGTGTCTGATCAGGGATACTTATTCGTTGATATCGGTCCTGAGTACGGTTTACCAAAGAAATGTGAATACAAAGATTTTATTCGTACTATTGAAGCTTTACCACTAATGCCACCACCTGATGTTTTTGGTCTACATATGAATGCTGGAATCACACAAGATATGCAAGTTTCGATGTTGCTTATAAATTCTATGCTCCTGGTTCAAGGGCAAGTCGGAGGTGGAGCGGGTGCTTCAGATATCGAAAAAGCTTTATTAGTTACTATAAATGATATAGTTACTAAAGTACCGCGACCTTTTGATATCGAAGCTGCAAAAAAGAAATTTCCTGTAGTTTACAGCGAATCTATGAACACTGTAATATGTCAAGAAATGGAACGGTTTAATAAATTGGTAATTGAAATAGTTTCTTCATTGACTATGTTGCGGAAAGCCATTCAGGGAGCAGTTGTGATGACACCAGCTCTCGAAGTTCTATCTAATGCTGTTGTTCTGGGTCGCATACCACCTTCATGGGAAAAAGTTTCGTACCCAAGTTTGAAACCACTGGCTGCTTATTTTGCAGATTTTCTGGAACGTCTGGAATTTTTGCGAATATGGGGTGAAACAGGTAAACCTTCAAATTTTTGGCTTTCAGGTTTCTTTTTTACACAAGCTTTTCTTACGGGTGCTTTGCAAAATTTTGCACGTAAATATGTTATTCCAATCGATACATTAACATTTGATTTTGAAGTTTTATATGTTGCAAGAGAAAAGCAACCTCCTGAAGACGGGGTTTACGTCTATGGTATGTTCGTGGTAGGCGCAAGATGGGATTGGAAAAATTGCCGTCTTGAAGAACAATTACCTAAAGTTTTATCTGATACGATGCCCCTTATTTGGTTGAAACCTGTGTTAATGGTTAAGTTTCAAGAAGGAGCTAGGTATAAATGTCCTTTATATAAAACTTCGGAGAGGAGAGGAACCTTGTCCACGACGGGACATTCTACTAATTATGTTTTGCCTCTTTACCTGAATTCGGCTGTTCCAGTAACGCATTGGATCAAGCGAAGCGTCGCACTCCTTTGTCAATTGGATTGATTAATAGATATATAAATAATCTAATAAATATTTAATAACTAACACAATTTTTTCTTGCAATTTATTTTTACGATAAAATTATATTATAAAAATTTATGCAGGGCTTGTGAAAATATTTATTTTGTGAGTGATATATTGCATGCACACGATAGTTAAATTCATACATTCGCACGCTTTCTGCGGGCGCATCAGTTTATTTCCCCTTTGCAAAAGACATTAAATCATCCCTCAACCTATAGTAGATTAAACATAATTAAATAATTGAGGGCATGTTTTCGAGTGGCAGCATATTATATCCGTTGTATAACTATAGTTATTTTGTACTGGTATATGCAGGGTAGAACTTAGATGAAGGCTATGATTAAAATATATTTTCTACATTTCATTACTTTTCTACAGTTATTTTTGCCCTGGATCAATTTCCTTTCGTCTAAACTTCTAATTTATATATTTTTTTCAATTTTAAGTTTATATTAAAATCTTCAAGCTAAATATACCTGAGAACTATGTGGTATCTGAAAGAAGGATTTTACCAAATGTTTAGTGATACTCTTTAAGGCCTGAGCTGAGATTAAGAATAAATTTATACTATACTTTCTACATTGATATAGTTATTTAAAGCAAATTCTTTGTTTAAACGTCCAATTTAAATTAAAAATGGATTTAAATTTCAAAATATACTAAATCAATTTACATTAATCTCTTCAAACTAAATATAATAGTCCTAAGAACTATTGGGTGACCGGAAGATAATCACTGAAGATTTGACAAATGTAGTTCTAATCACAATATTTTATATGCTGCTGTATTATAACTATAGTTCTTCAAATATTTATTCAAAAATAATTGTTTTTCATTTTCAGTACTACCCTGTTTAAAATCATCCCCTCAACAGTGCTATTAACCATTGTCCGCTTGTGACACCCGTCGGGTCCTCTCTAAAACACATTCAAAATCAACTGTTTTGAATGCAAGGGATAAAATTGTTATATGCGGGTACCGAATCATACATATAGAAATAACTGAATATATTCACCTTATAAATAAAAAAATAAATATATTCTACCTATGATATTTATATAGCAATTTTAAAGAAATTGTTAGATTAATTGTAATATTTTTGTTTTATACTTAAATTAATTATTTAGCGTAATAATCAACTTTATAATATAATTAAAGACAAATTATACCTTCTACGACCAGCCAATTCATTGAATTAATATACGTTTTTAGAAAAAAATAATTTTAATTAATAAAATAATTGCTTACGTAATGACGGACTCGTGAGTTTGATCCCCAATTTTACCTTAATTTTTTTTTCAGCTTTTTATTAACATATTATACATTTTCATATCTTAGTAAGGCGGGGGTGCCTGGTATAAGAGATTATAAATAAAGAAGTATAGAACTTATGGAGCGCATGGCATCGTGCCTTAAGGCAAATTGCTGGAACTTCCCGTACCAAAAATTATTTTTTTTAAAAAAGATTAACATTTTTGGAAAAAAAATTACTCTGAAAAAATTAGATTTTTGAAAAACTACAAATTTTTGACATAATTTACTTTTTTTTTGAAAAAAAAGACTTTAAAGAAAAATTTATTTTGAAATATTTTGGAAATTCTGAACTTTTTTTCGTATTACTTTAACTGCATAGAGACGAAATATCGAAAGCGCAGCGTCGCCGTCTAAGGGATAAACATTGGTACGGAACCCATAGGAATGTAAACAAAATTTATACTTATTGTTAAAATCTCTATAAAATATCTGATAATTTGATGTGCATATGTCTAATGATCATTTTTGACCGCCAAATGGCATTTTTTTTTTGCTTTTTTTACTAGATCTCCGAAATCGCTTCATGATAATTTGATCAGTCATTCATCTTGTTAATACAAGCAGAATGTTTTTTTGAATTATTCAAATCGGACGCTCCGTTCTCTTAAAAACTGAGTTACCGTTTTTGGCACTTTTTGCTCCATATCTTTGAAACGGCCAGACCTGCCTTCGCCAAAAACTAATGAGCACGTCTCCTTATCAATACGAATCGTGTACCCGAAATCGTCGACGAAAATTTGTATCCACACACACACACATACACGCACTCACACACACATACATCCATTTTTTCTAAGGTATGCCAAAATGTTCAGAAGGTTATGAAAGGTAAAGATATATAAAAAATTTCATTTTCGATTTTTTTGCGATTACTATAACTTGTCCTACGGAAAGTTAAAAATATGCGTCCAATTAAAAATATCCCATATCGGGCACTACGGTGTGAAATGGCAATGGAAAATCTCTCACACTATTCTTCCTTGGATCGAGTTGGCGTTTAACTCACAAACTTGCTCTAGCTAGGGCAGTTTTACTCATTATTCATTTCGTTATATAGATGCTTATATATCCCAGACTATAAATTTTAATTTCTCCAGGACAATCTTGTCGAATTCCCATACAACTATTACTAATTAAAAAATGAAATCTATCACAAGAGCACTTGAATAATAAAAAATTCTCGAAAAATCGCGTTCGTTGTGTCGCACGCCGGTTTGCACGGTCCCCATACGGTGCCATCGCGGGACAATGGCAAAAGTGCGACCGTCGCGTGCCGTCCTCACTTTAGGCTCGAGGGGAAAATAGAAGCCAGAGATAGTTAATTGCTTCGAATGAATATGGGTGCACGGTGCGGGCAATGTTGTCTAATATAAAAGATCGCCACATACTCATTCCGCATGATTCACCACTTGAAGATCGTACTTGCGATTAATTTGATAAAAGGGCCCAGAAACGCTTGAAATTAGAAGTGTTTTTAACACTGAAACAGTAATTGTTATATGCTAATTAGTTCAGATCAGCTTAGTAAAAGTAAGCTCCGGTTAGAGTATTTTTAGAGTGATTAATCACATTTACATTTGTGATAGCATTTATTAAATTCTAAAAAATTTAAATTTATTTCTAAATATTATTGTCTATGCTTTTTATTGGATTATATCATACTAAAATTAAGCTGGTTTATAGAGTATTTTTAAACTGATTAATTATTTATTAAGTAAACTTATTATTATTAAGTAAACTCAGAAATCAATTTAAAATTCTTTAATAGATAAAAAAATTAAACGAATTTCTGAACAGCAAAATCTAATTGAAATCATCAAGCAATTTTAAGAATACATGTGCTGGAAACCATTATTTCTATATATCTATGCTTATTATTGGATCATATCATTCTGAAATTAAACTTGATTCAGAGTATTTTTAAACTAGAGTGATTAATTAATTAATTATTATCAAGTAAACTCAGAAAATAATTTAAAATTCTTCAATGTATGAAAACAAATTAAATTAATTTCTGAACAGCAAAATCTAATTGAAACCATCAAGCAATTTCAAGATCATGAAGTCATTCTTTGTGAAAAGATTACAATTTATAATCTATATATGTTCTTTCTTATCATCCTGAAATTAAACTTGATTCAGAGTATTTTTAAACTAGAGTGATTAATTAATTAATAAGTAAACTTATTATCAAGTAAACTCAGAAATTAATTTAAAATTCTTCAATGTATCAAAACAAATTAAATTAATTTCTGATAAGCAAAATCTAATTGAAATCAATAAGCAATTTCAAGATCATGAAGTCATTCTTTGTGCAAAGATTACAATTTATAAAATTTTCTTTCAGATAAATTTTATTTATTATGTATATTTATTTATTATGTATATTTATTTATTTACATAACTACCCACATACAAATTTTCACAATTTATAATACAACTAAATGTGTTTAAAACTTTGAACTGAGCTTGTTAAACACCAAAATTTAAATTGTTGTGTGCTAATTATTGTCTGATAATTCTGGAGATAAGCTCAGTCTAAGTATTATTAAAATAGAGAGATTAAGTCAACTTATTAAGTTTTATTAATTTGATTTCTGACGAAAATCTATGCTCCAAATCACAATTTCATTTCATCTTCATTTTTTGTGCAAGAAGATTACAATAAATATACACACTCTTAGATCATATATATATATATATATATATATATACTTATAATTGTTTATGTAAATAAATTATGTAATTATTTCTATAACTAGTCACTTACAAATTTGTACAATTTATAATACAACAATCTTAAACTGAAACATTAAAGTGAGAAATACTTTTAACACTAAAATTGAAATTGTTTTATGCTAATTATTGGATAAGTTTAATTGCATAAAATAAGCTTGGTTTGAGTATTTTTGAACCTATAGAGATAAAAAATATTAAACTTTAATTACTTAAATAACTATAAATAAAAATTAATAATTAATCTGATTAAGAAAATGCATACTTTAAGTTTTTATTTGTGCTAACTTATTACAATAAATGTATTCTTATAACTAGATAAAAATTATATATGTAATAAAAGAGATTATTTATATATATATATATATATATATATATAATATATATATATATATATATATATATATAATATATATATATATATATATACATTTATTTATTTGTTTTAATTGTTCACAAAACTACCCACTTACCAAATTTTGCCAATTATAATATGGCTAAACTAAATGTTTATTAGATAATATTTCTTCCATAAGATTTTGTTATGCATAATAATATTATGTGATGAAGTCCATTACAGTATAGCTTTGTTTTGCTGACAAATTAATTACATTTTGCATAATATATTAATTAGAAATTATATAAACCTTGATCTTCAACATTGAATGCTAATTATTTCCTAGAAAATGTATATAGGGATAGTTCAATATCAAAGATCATATAGAATAACTAAATTATACATTATTAATTTATTACAATATTTATAATATTCATATACATTTATTCATGTGCTTAAATTATTTACAAAACTATCCACTTACCAATGTTTGCAAGTTATAATAAAGCTAAACAAAGTGTTTCTTAGATAAAACTTAAGATAGATAATTCTTCAATAAGATTTTGTTATGCATAATAGTATGATGTGATGA